GTGGAGTGCGAAGAGCGCAGTGTGAAGTGTGAAGTGTGAAGTGTGAGGTTTGGAGTGTGAAGGAAGCAGTGAGAAGTGTGAAGTGTGGACTGTGAAGTGTGAGGGAAGTGTGGAGTGTGAAGTGCGAAGTGAGAAGTGTGAAGTGTGAAGTTTGGAGTGTGAAGTTTGGAGTGGGAAGGAAGCAGTGAGAAGTGAGAAGTGTGAAGTGTGGAGTGTGAAGTGTGGAGTGTGAAGTGCGAAGTGAGAAGTGTGAAGTTAGGAGTGTGAAGGAAGAAGTGAGAAGTGAGAAGTGAGAAGTGTGAAGTGTGGAGTGTGAAGTGCAAAGTGAGAAGTGTGAAGTGTGAAGTGTGAAGTTTGGAGTGTGAAGGAAGCAGTGAGAAGTGAGAAGTGTGAAATGTGGAGTGTGAAGTGTGAAGTGTGAAGTGCGAAGTGAGAAGTGTGGACTGTGAAGTGTGAAGTGTGGACTGTGAAGTGTGAAGTGTGGACTGTGAAGTGTGAAGTGTGAAGTGTGGACTGTGAAGTGTGAAGTGTGGACTGTGAAGTGTGAAGTGTGAGGTTTGGAGTGTGAAGGAATCAGTGAGAAGTGAGAAGTGTGGAGTGTGAAGTGTGGAGTGTGAAGTTTGAAGTTTGGAGTGCGAAGAGTGCAGTGTGCAGTGTGAGGTGTGGAGTGTCGAGGGAAGGACACGGTCGGGACAGGGTGTCTTTGAACTATAGGTCATTTATGTTTGGGAAACTTCCGCCGCCGGCTTGCCCGGGTCTATGTTATGTGATAAGTTGGCATGCGAAAAATCGGTATGTGATGACAAGTTAGTATGTGATAAGTTGGCATGCGAAAAGTCGGTATGTGATGACAAGTTAGTATGAGATAAGTTGGCATGCGAAAAGTCGGTATGTGATGACAAGTTAGTATGAGATAAGTTGGCATGCGAAAAGTCAGTATGTGATGACAAGTTAGTATGTGATAAGTTGGCATGCGAAAAGTCGGTATGTGGGTGTTGATCAAAATAAAGGTTCCTGGGGAAGGTACAACCGCCGAGCAACCGCCAACCAACCGCGTTCCGAAAGGTGACAATCGCGGAAGGGTTTTGTGCTATCCGATGCCATGTTGTACAGAAAATGCAATACACATTTCTAAATACACAGACGGATGCGCAAGTCACAAGCCTGCGCAGCGTTCAATCCAGACAGAATAGCACACTGGTGCGACATGTAAGTGGGCAAGAGGCATGGCATGGGCTAGTGACTACATTGGGGGGTTCCTCAATCGCCTCACAATCGCGGATCAATCGCGGATTTTTCGATCAAATATGGAAACCATGTCGGCCAAAAGTCCAACTCCACAGCTTCCTGCGCTCGCGATATGGTGGTCGGGCCCAGCCCACTCCACAGCCTCCTGAGCTCGGGATATGGCGATCGGGTCCAGGCACAGTCCACATCCACCGGAGCTTGCGATCTGCAGTTCGCGTCCAGGCATGGCAGCATCCGGAGCTGGCAGAGATGACACAAGGAGGAAGGCAAGCAGGCGAAGGAGAAGAAGGAGAAGGCCCGGCACCTCTGTTAAAATCTAGAGACCCTCTCCTGGCAGGTGGGGAAAAAAACCTGCAAAGCCCAGCACACAAGACTGCAGCACGGACACATACAAAAAGCAATTATATCCGCCCACCACAAGGCCACCGCAATGGCTCAAGAGCACCCCACGGCCGCAGCAATGGCTTCTTTTATAGGCTGCCGTTTGCGAAGCCTCAAACCCTCCAAACCTTCCAACTCCTCCAAAAGTTTGCCCACCTCCGCAAAGAAAAGGCACCCCACGGCCGCAGCAATGGCTTCTTTTATAGGCGTTCAAGGCTGCCAACCGCGCAGGCATAAGCTACCCCAAGGCCAGATCCATCGTTTCTTCTCAGCGCGGTCCATGCCAACAGGCACCCCAAGGCCACAACAATGGCTTCTTAGGCTTCTTATGGGCGTCCAAGCCTGCCGCTTGCCAGCCCTTAAACCCCTAAAACGCCTAAAACCCCTAAAACCCTTAAAACTGTTGAAACTCTGCCACAGCGTCTGGGACGCCCAATCGCGCAGCTTAAAACCGTTAAAACTCTGTCCAAGCGTCTGGGATGCCCAACCGCGCAGGCATAAGCTACCCCAAGGCCAGATCCATCGTTTCTTCTCAGCGCGGTCCATGCCAACCTGCCGTTTGCCAGCCTTTAAACCCCAAGGCCATGAAACTCTGCCACAGCGTATGGGACGCCCAACCGCGCAGCTTAAAACCGTTAAAACTCTGTCCAAGCGTCTGGGATGCCCAACCGCGCAGGCATAAGCTACCCCAAGGCCAGATCCATGGTTTCTTCTCAGCGCGGTCCACGCCAACAGGCACCCCAAGGCCACAACAATGGCTTCTTAGGCTTCTTATGGGCGTCCAAGGCTGCCGTTTGCCAGCCCTTAAACCCCTAAAACCCCTAAAACGCCTAAAACCCCTAAAACCCTTAAAACTGTTGAAACTCTGCCACCCTTAAAACCGTTAAAACTCTGCCACAGCGTATGGGACGCCCAACCGCGCAGCTTAAAACCGTTAAAACTCTGTCCAAGCGTCTGGGATGCCCAACCGCGCAGGCATAAGCTACCCCAAGGCCAGATCCATCGTTTCTTCTCAGCGCGGTCCACGCCAACAGGCACCCCAAGGCCACAACAATGGCTTTTTAGGCTTCTTATGGGCGTCCAAGCCTGCCGTTTGCCAGCCCTTAAACCCCTAAAACCCCTAAAACGCCTAAAACCCCTAAAACCCTTAAAACTGTTGAAACTCTGCCTCAGCGTATGGGACGCCCAATCGCGCAGCTTAAAACCGTTAAAACTCTGTCCAAGCGTCTGGGATGCCCAACCGCGCAGGCATAAGCTACCCCAAGGCCAGATCCATGGTTTCTTCTCAGCGCGGTCCATGCCAACAGGCACCCCAAGGCCACAACAATGGCTTCTTAGGCTTCTTATGGGCGTCCAAGCCTGCCGTTTGCCAGCCCTTAAACCCCTAAAACCCCTAAAACCCCTAAAACGCCTAAAACCCCTAAAACCCTTAAAAAACTCTGCCACAGCGTATGGGACGCCCAACCGCGCAGCTTAAAACCGTTAAAACTCTGTCCAAGCGTCTGGGATGCCCAACCGCGCAGGCATAAGCTACCCCAAGGCCAGATCCATCGTTTCTTCTCAGCGCGGTCCATGCCAACAGGCACCCCAAGGCCACAACAATGGGCCACAACAATGGCTTCTTAGGCTTCTTATGGGCGTCCAAGCCTGCCGTTTGCCAGCCCTTAAACCCCTAAAATCCCTAAAACCCCTAAAACCCCTAAAACCCTAAAACCCTAAAACCCTTAAAACTGTTGAAACTCTGCCACAGCGTCGCGCCAATCGCGCAGACCGTTAAAACTCTGTCCAAGCGTCTGGGATGCCCAACCGCGCAGGCATAAGCTACCCCAAGGCCAGATCCATCGTTTCTTCTCAGCGCGGTCCATGCCAACAGGCACCCCAAGGCCACAACAATGGCTTCTTAGGCTTCTTATGGGCGTCCAAGCCTGCCGTTTGCCAGCCTTTAAACCCCAAGGCCATGAAACTCTGCCACAGCGTATGGGACGCCCAACCGCGCAGCTTAAAACCGTTAAAACTCTGTCCAAGCGTCTGGGATGCCCAACCGCGCAGGCATAAGCTACCCCAAGGCCTGTCCAAGCGTCTGGGATGCCCAACCGCGCAGGCATAAGCTACCCCAAGGCCAGATCCATCGTTTCTTCTCAGCGCGGTCCATGCCAACAGGCACCCCAAATTTGTCGGCGTAATATCCAGTTGTTTCCGTAATTATATCCTCAGCAACCTCTTTTTTTTTTCCGGGGTCCAAGCGAACATCACAATTCTAAGCGCAATGATCTCTCTCTCTCTCTCTCTCTACCAGACCACCCCCAATAGGGGGGTCGGCGGCACCAGGGCGCTAGCCCATTCTATAACATATATGATTTTCTCCCATATACACAGTAGATGACTGCATCAATCGCAAACCAATCGCCGAGCAATCGCGATGCAGCGTTTTACAATCGCGGATGTCAAGATATACATACCCGTTCATAATTCTTAGACTTGCATTTGCGATCGGCCCCCATGTGATGACAAGTTAGTATGTGATAAGTTGGCATGCGAAAAGTCGGTATGTGATGACAAGTTGGTATGTGATAAGTTGGCATGCGAAAAGTCGGTATGTGATGACAAGTTAGTATGTGATAAGTTGGCATGCGAAAAGTCGGTATGTGATGACAAGTTAGTATGTGATAAGTTGGCATGCAAAAAGTCGGTATGTGATGACAAGTTAGTATGTGATAAGTTGGCATGCAAAAAGTCGGTATGTGACAATGTGACAAGTTTGTGTGTGATGGCGGGAGGAGGCAGGAGGAGGTGGACGCGGTGGGAAGGCGGCCGGGTCTTTCTATTGATTGACTATTGCGAGAAGTCGAGAGATCAAAGCACTGACCTTTAGATTCAATCAGCAGCTCCTGAGCACTTTTTTTGCATTCCTGTGAGTACCTATTGGTTCGAAGCACTGTTGACTTCGAATGATTTCGCGGTCCTGCACTCCATGCAAGGCTCATCCGCGAAAATTCTCTCATCGGTGCCATCTCTTGGCAAAAGCAGCAACGAAACAGCTCCCACAATTAGTTGTGGAGTTGTGGAAAACATCTTGCTGCTTGCTTGACATTGACAAGGCAATCCTTCAAAACAAACCAAATCTCGAGAATACAAGAGCTAAAAAGTTCTCCTGTTGACCCGGTGACATGAAACGTACTGGTTGGCGCGTCCTACATTTCTATACCCGTCCTCCAAGGTGTTGATATGTTCATTCTGCCTAGTGATAAGAGCAAGCAAGCCTCACCAGACTAACCTCCAGCTAATCTGGGCGCTTTTTGCACCATGAATGCAAGGCATCAAAATACAAAACATCAAGTCATCACATGAATCAGCGCATGGCAAGGAATGAATCACCATGACAAGTCCTTTTGCTTTGACAAGCATTGACCCATGTGGTCCACAGGTCCACCTGTCTTCTTTGCCAAGTATTCTCTCCCGTCAGCTTTGAAGGACTCTTGGATCATCTTCTCCATTTTCTCTTCCATCTCACTGCAGGGAGGAACCTGCACAAAAACCTTGCCATCCTCCACCTTCGTCTTGAAAGTTGAAAGGTTGAAGTTCGGGTTGCTAATGCCCTCACCGGTCACAAGGTTATAGGTGGTCTTGTAGATGGGGTCTGCCACGGTCAATGTCCCGTTGGGCTGCACTCCCACAAGGCCGCGCGAAATAGTCCGAGCCTGCTTGTGGGGGCATAGATTCTGCGTCGCCAACCACTGTTCCTTTGGTTCTGCACTTGGAAGGTGGAACACTGCCAGTTCCTGCATGCCATGCTTCACACTGAGCCCACCATTTTTGGGGTAGGCGCTGACCAGTCCTGCAAAGATCCACTCCCAGTCACTCGAGTGGCTGTCCTCTTTTCTGTATAGTGCTGGGCCAGTGATGTCTGGTGGACTGTAAAGGTTGGGATGGCGCTGGCCTCGCATGTCAATGTATTCAATCTGTTCTGAGTCATGAGTCTCTTTGGTGTTCGCAAACTGTTGGAATTTCTGGCGCAACTCCTCATCATATGCCACTGCCTTCCATTCACATTTTTCGTTGGCTCGGTTGCGTTCCATCATTTGCTCCAAATCAACAGCTATGCCCAGAGAATCCTCGATGACAACCTTCTTCAAGTAATCAATGCCACCTTCAAGTTCAGCCAGCCAAGGTGCTGTGCGCTGCAGGTGCTTGGCTGTAGAAATGTAGTACATCAAGAATCGATCGACATATTTCAGGCACTCCTCGACTGAGCAGTCTGTGGCCAAAAGCTTAGCGTGCACTGGCTTGGCCCCACCATTGCCACACACATAGAGATTGTAGCCAGCCTGCGTGGCGATGACGCCCACGTCTTTTCCCTGAGCCTCTGCACACTCACGCAAGCATCCGGAAGCAGCCATCTTGATCTTGTGAGGCGCGCGAAGACCTTTGTAGCGATTCTCCAAAGTCACAGCCATGGTGACAGAATCCTGCTGGCCATAGCGGCACCAGCTTGTGCCCACGCAGCTCTTCACGGTGCGTAATGCCTTGCCATGAGAACGTGTGTGTCAACCATCGTCTTTTCAAGACTTCTGACCACGAGCTGCTGAATTTCATCATGTAGGTGGTTTTAGGGGAGGTTCATCATATATAATAATCCTAAAGTAGTTGGAATCTCTGAGTTTTCAAAAAAGACCCCTAGATAGAATCCGAAAATGGCTCAAAAATCCGGGTCGTTCACATTCAAAATATTCCAATAAAAATATTCCCAAAAAATTGGCCTCTAGAATGAGCACAAAAGGGTCATTTAGGTTGTGATTTGGTTCCCGATTGCGTGTTTGGGCTTTTGAAACGAACACAAAATCACAAATAGGTGTTATTTTGCTGGTGGATTTCGTTCTGACATGCCCATTTCAACCCAAAATCTTCCAAAAAAAGGAAAGCAAGAATCCAAGATCTACCATCCAAAGTTAATTCTCACCAGCGCTGTGCCAGGACAGGTGCACAAACCTATAGATAGAATATACTCTAGAGCCATCGGTATAACTGAACTTTCAAAAGGATGCATGGGATTAAGTGTGTTTTTGTGGTGCGTCCTGCCCATTCCTCTACATCTACCCATCCGAAATTCATTTTTGGGTGATCAGTGATTATTGAAAGGACCATTTGAAAGGAAAACAGAATAAGAAAAGCTGGAATCCAACATCTACCATCCAAAGATCATTCTTGGAACTTTTTGAGGAGGAAACTTTATAAGGAGCATGGGACAAGAAAAGCAAGAATCCAACATCTACCATCCAAAGTTCATTCTCGGAACTTTTTGAGAAGGAAACTTTTAAAGGCACATGGGACAAGAAAAGTGGGAATCCAAGATCTTACCCTCCAAAGTTCATTCTTGGAGCTTTTTGAGGAGGAAACTTTGAAAGGAACATGGGACAAGAAAAGTGGGAAGACAGGTGCGCAAAACTATAAATAGAATATACTCTAGAGCCATGGATATACGAAAACGTGTGGTATCAGCACAAGGACGTTTCTTGAGCCAAAGCCGTTCAAGTAAATACACCATTGTTTGGTGAAAAGTTCGTAGCAAACTATATTCCGGTTACACTTCGGTAACCATAAGTGAAAAGAATGCAAATAAGCCGTGGTAAAACTCTTCCCCCCCCTTCAACAGGATGGTGCATACAGCACACGCTCGCACATAGGATTCCCCCCGCCAGAATCCTGCGTGCGGCCAGAAACGCACCTGAGAGTTGAAGGCGAGTTCCAACAACCACAAGCCTAAGAAACTAATTTACAAAATATAGTACATCCTCACCGCAGCGTGGCCAAAAGCGCAGCAGCCGCCAGGCAGCAACAGCGCAGGCTCTTGCCAAAAGAAACAGTCCTCAGCGTCACCCGCGCAGAGCGCAGAGCTGACCCTCAAGGTAAAGGATTATACTAAACAAAATTATCGATGATTTCCATGTTGGGTTTTCAGGGTTTCGGTGCAGATCGAAACATACCTCAGTCAAGCGGTACCTAAGTCAAGTCCTTAGTTTCCTTAGTCGGCGGAGGAAGGATACCAAGCCGGGTTCTTAGTTCCAAGAACGATACTCGATTAAGTGCTTTTGTCAAGATATCAGCCAGCTGGTTTCTGGACTCAACGTACTGCAATTTGATTAGGTTGTTACTGATCGCTTCTGATAACGCGGCTACTGAAATCCTATGGGTCCTCGGCATTGATCTGAGTTTAGGTGAGTAACCAGATTCAAGCACCGTGATACATGCGGAGTTGTCCTCCATGAGCAATGAATCAACAGGGAATCCTAGGATACGTTCCAATAGTGACTTTGTGGGTATCATGTCTTGAAACACCCCTTCGTTTGCAGAAGCGAGTTCCGCCTCAGTGGTGGAGCGGGCCACTGCACTCTGACGCTTGGATGTCCAAGAAATTGGGAACAACCGGTCACCTGACTCAATTACCGTGAAGATGCCACTATGTGATTTACAGGAAGTAACACAACCAGCTAAGTCTGAATCGCAAAAGGCACGAATCAGTGGAGGCACTTCTGTCTTCGCAACTTCACCCATGATTCCAAAATGAGCAGTTTGTTTGACGTAGCCCACAAGCCGCTTCAACCTGAGATCATCAGCCCTTGACCACTTTGAGATCTGAGCTGCAAGGCTGACCACAGGAAAGTTGATGTCAGGGCGGCTCAATCGAGCCAGCCATAATAGTTTCATTAGTATGCTTGCAGAAGACTCCGCAAGCTGTCCTCTGGCCTCCCACAGATCTGGGGTCAGAACCGAGTCACTGACGAACGGAGTTTCTGCCGGCTTGACGGTTCCAAATTGTGTCTCATATAGTTCGACGGCGGAATCAGCATAAGCTTGCATCTCCATAAAAACGGCGGTATAACCACCCTTGTCAAGAACCCTGTGTTCACGTCCTAAGAATTTACCTGGTTCAATGACTTCATCGAAACTAATATGTTGTTTGATTTCCTCCCAGAACTTGGAAACACCATCAGAGGGACCTGAGGCCATAATGTCATCCACATAGGCGGCAATCAAAACTCTCAAATGAGGGAACCACCAAAGTGAAGGGTACTCTTCCAACCGGATAGCCTTCATCTTTAGGGTCACGATCCCATTGAAATAATCATGCCATGCATCCCCGCTAGTTTGATGACCGTACATGGCCTTGTCGAGAGGACATGCAACGCGAACAAACTTGCGAAACCAATGGCTAGGCCAAATGAGTTTTGGGATTACGACATATGTTGGCCTGTCGGCAAGCAGTGGCGCTTGCAGGTAAGCTTTGAAAGCGTCCGCTATGGTGCATACGTGGTCATTGAGCATTCCGTACCATAACACGATGTTTATGGAATTGACGGTTGCCGGCAAGGATTTGACTTCACGGTATATAGCCCTTTTACCGTTTTGGTCGCGGCATGCATCCCCTCGGAACACGAGCCTACCTTTAAGCTTTTGCTTTTCAACGGCTTGCTCGGCATTTTTCACGGAGCATATGGGCATAATATCGGCGATGTGTATGTCTTGACCTGTGGACCTGGACCACTGCAGAAGACTGTCCACTTCAATTGCTTCTGCTTCATTCCACACCTTTAAGCGGCGCATTTCGTCCGCCTCTTGCATCAACGCCTGCTTTGCACCTTCGCTGGAGGTAATTTCCTCTCGGGACATCGGCCGATGGACGAGGCCAAGAACTTCTTGAGCATGCCACAAACCTTGTTCGATATGAGCCTTCTGTCCAACCACAGTTGGCATTGCCGGTACACGGTTCATAATGGTTGAAGTGGCAAGTGAAGAAACTATAGCCAAAGCCATGTTCAGATTATAAAACCCGCTTTCATTGGCCATGTGCCCTCCTAGGATCTCATCATGCTTGTGACCGGGACCGTGGACGCAGCCATACTCATTGAGTTTAGTAGCAAGTCGGGGTGAAGTAGTTACGACACGCCATTCCTTAAAAGTTTTCTTGCCACCAATGACCAATCCGAAACCACATCCCGTAGGATAAGAAGAGTACAGGTTAAACTCGGTGATGAAACACAACACCAATTGTTCTTTCCACCCTGCACAATTCTTTGGCCACTCAAATGAAACAGTACCTCCTGATGCAGCAGCAATGCGGCCTAACTTCCGAAAGCGTGAAACTAGCTCCAGTGATTTCTTTCGTTCCTTCTTGAGATACTTCTTGAACGATTCACCTTTGGTAGCTAGATTCAAATTCTGAATGGGTGAGAAAGGACCACAAGGAATGGACCCAAACAAATGAATGGTTTCATTTTCTTGAACCTTTTCATGGAACCAATATTCAACTTGGGCAAAAACACCATCATCCAAAAGATCACCAAAATCAACAGACAATCCAAGATACGGAACCTCAAGTTGTTGACAAACCTTTGAACAAGAACTTTCGGATGAGCAACAAAACTCAACAAACCATTCCTTGTTTGTTTGCTGCTTTGACTTCTCAACCCTGGCAGAACCCCCCGATACCTCAGCAAGTCTGCGTGACATGAGGGTTTCATCCTCACCATCTTCGATAGCTTCAATCAGGATTGATGCCGCAACATCGGAACCTCTCTCCAAAAGTTGGGATTGAGTTGAAACTTGAGACCCTTTTGAGATGCTAATAAGACCCATAACATCCTCAACCGGACCAACATCACCAACAACCGAAGGTTCATAGTCATCATCCGCCCCCCCGACCGCTGAAGAACTTGGCCCTTCACCAACCTTTGGCTCGTGAGACTCAACTGGAGTTTTGGGAACACCTACAACTGGCGTTTTGGGGGCTTTGATGGGTTCACCTTCAAGTAGAGTATTGAATCGGGATCGACATTCCTTCGTGTGATAGTCGTTGCCATACTTACATGCATCACAACCTTTGGTTGGACCATATGACGCAACCCTCAACTTGGTGATTTTCCGATTCCTCTCCGCCGGTTTTGGTTTTGTCTCCACCCGCGCATGCACAGAGCTGGATTCTCCACCGCCACCTTTGGAAGATTTCTCGGCTTCAATGATGAAATCCTTGATCTCCTTTTCCAACAATGCATCCCTACGTGCAATTTCTTCATCATCCAAATCCTCATCATCAAGTTCTTCGGGGAAGTTCCCTAAGTAACCAGGCTGATTATCAACTTTTAGTACATTCTCACCTGACCCTTTCACCGGAAACTGCCACTGCCCCGGAGGAAACGCCAAAGTTCTGACTATCCTTTCCCGGTAGGTACCATCCCGAAATGATGACAAAGGCATGACATGATATAACCCTTTGAACTTCTGACCTGCAATCAACTCACCACCAAGGAACAAGGCACTTCCCCCTTTGGGTGCAAACGGTAATGGGTCTACTGACTTGATGTAAACCAAACAACCGAATGGTGCCTTGACACCTTCGTAAGCATAACCATGATGAGCTTCATAGCATGTGATCTCTGGATCTGCAGTGGATACTTTGGTGATGGGGTAAGCCCATTCAATGTACCTATGTGCCAACGGCCAAAACTCATGGCTAAGACCGGATTGCAACAGGATGGAGGCTGAAATGCCCTTCAAAGTCCTGATGAATGATTCTGCAAACGGGTTATGGATACTATTCCTAGGCTCTGCAGGTTCAGAGGCAAAACCAAGGTTCGTCAAAGCAGCCAAGATCTCGGGTGCCCGGTCACTTGCGACCGACACGATTCCCGCCTTCCGGCTACCACAAAACCTCCTGAGTGCTTCCTCAGTTCCCTCTGCATTCTTTGCCTTTAGAGGATATGAACCAACCAGTCCGCTATACCGATCAATGGTTACAAAGGTATACTGTTCACCATGAATCCCTGGATGAGTCCTAGAAATCACATGGTCACATGCGACCCTTTCAAGTGGTTCTTTGGGTTCTTCCATGTCTCGAATTTCTCGGAGATATTCTCTTTGGTTCGCCCTTTTGCGGTGGGGTGCATCATAGAGCTTTGCTTGGATACACACTGGGCAATGTTTGGATTTAGGCAAATGAGTAAGCAAATGATCTTTGTCAACCTCGATATCCAACAGTTCGTCATCATGATCTGGTGCTGGATCATCGGGAATGCCTTCAACATCGGCCTTTGAATCACCCTTTTCCACTACTACATTTGAAGGCTCGTGTCCCCCCCCCGGTGCTGCAGCAACAGCTGTCAAACCTGGAACAAAGGTAGCAGGAAACCGAAAGATTGGGACATTGTGTTCAATTCTGTGCGCATACAAAGGATCACCTTCAACGTCATAAGTGAAGTTGCATTCTGTTGAAGCCAAAAAGGGTAAACCATTGCAGGGCCAAACAAAAGAATAACCCTCATTTTGCACAAGGTTTCCAATTGAAAGCGCCATGGGGCATGAGTCCAACATATACACATTCTGGGGATTACTCCAAATGTTGGACCAGCAGCCTACCGTTCGGGTACCCTGTTGCGAACCACCACCAGTTGAAAACTTAAGTGGAGCTTGGGTATCGACAAAACAATGATCAGGAACCTCAAACCCTTGCCTCAACAAGGCTGACCGAGAACCAAGCGACTCACCCGCACCGGTGTCTCCGATGAACTCAACATATCGCGAATTAGCTGAATCCACCCCTCCAGACATTCCCAAAATTGGTGAATGCCCTTCAACTGAGCCCACACAACCAAGGCCCGTGACAAGTGCTACCATAGCCGCAGCTACCTTTGCCTTTGGCGTAGGAGCCGACTTTGCAGTTGGATTTCCAGTTGGAGCAGCACCACCACCAGCCACGTGAGCAAATGGACAATTTGTCCGAGTACACTTTCCCCTTTGGAAAAAGATACATAGTGGAGGATCACTAGATGAAGTCGATGGTCTGGCCTTAGGCTTTGGGGAATTCTTCCCATAATCCTTTTTGGGGTCTTGAGATCCTTTGGTTCCTTTGCCCTTGGGGGTCTCCTTTGAAGACGAACCCTGATCCTTTTTACCCTTCCCTTTGGGTTGGGAACCCTTCGCAACCATAGCTTTGGTGTCCTTTTTCGGGCTACTGGGACCTTTACGAAGATCATCCCTGATGCTTTGTGCATTGGTGTCATACTGAGATTCTCTCAAAGCTTGTTCCACCCCTGTCCACAAAAAGTCAAATGAACGAAGAGTGGGACGATCGGCATATTGGTCAATGGTTCTCCTAAGTAGTGAGTGCTTCTTGAGAGAGTTGTAAGCCCATTGCGACATCAAAGAATCCTGAGGTCGATCTGCAATCGGCAATTGGGAGAGAACGTATGTCACCTTGTCCGCCCAATTCTTAAGTCCTGTGGCACTGTCTTGGGGCGCCGGAAGTTGAAAAAGTTCAAGGCTAGACGTGATTGATGTGGAGGCATGACTGGTATCAAACTCAGAACTAACCATGTTGATAAGCATGCGTCCACGAACAGACTCTCCACTCATCTCGCACTTCTCCACGTACGCCTGGACCTTTAAGCCGAAGCTTGACCTCAACACCTCGGGTTTGCATAACACGCTAGCTATGACACGGTCAAATCGGGGAAAACCTTCGGAATCACGTTTCTTGGATTGCCTGAGTCCTTGGGTGTTTCCTGTTTGGGGTGGAATGGGATCAAATTACGTGATATTCCCAGTTTTGGTTGATTGTTAAAAAACAGAGATTGGGATCCAATTAGCGCCAGCAAAAGGTGCGGATACGCATGCTTCAAAGCAGATTTTTTTTGGGGGTAAAGAAAAACGGGACAAAATTGCAAAAGCATATCGCGAACATATACTCATACATCCATGCGAGCATATGACAACTTCGGAACGCTGCAGGTGGGCATTTTTCCCCTGAGGCTTTGCAGTCAAGCTTCTCCAACTACGCCAGTCTTGCGGTATACACCCGCTTCGCACAGGCAGCGTGCCCGCTTCCATTCGCAGGTTTCGCTGTTCATTGGGCCAAGCGAAAAGATTCAAAATTAGCGATCCGTGGGTTTGGCGATGCTTCCTGTTTCACTACGCTTTAGATCGTGCCTTTTTGCCCTTTCCTTTGGTTGTTTCGCTGGGTTCTTCCTGTTTTCTTTTTTTGGCAGCTGAGTCGGCCTTGGCCGCTGCCGGTTTAGGCGCCGCCGCTGCCTTGGCCGTGCTTTCTTTCTTTTTTGGTTTTTCTTCTGGCTGTGGCGGCCTTGAAGCATCTCCCGAAGGTTCAGCCCCTGAAGCTGCAGCAAGGGCTTCCGCCGCTGGGGCCTGCGGCTCCAACTCCAACTCGTCTTTCTTCTTTGGGTCCAGGTTGGGTGGTGCCACCCTCATGTTGGCATTTTTCTCGCCAGGGCTCTCATTATTCGCTCCATGCGAGTTTGCAGCATCTGGTGCTATCGCTCTCTTCTCGCTCTGGGCTTGCTGCTGCGGAGTTTGTCCGCTGTTGTCCTTGTCTTCATTCTGCATGGGTGCTGGGGCGCTTTCGTCTTTGCTATCTGTTTCTTTTTCTGTCTGGTCAGATGCCTTTGCCTCCGCAGGAACGACTGCAACATGCGGAGCAGCATGGCTTTGCTCAGCCCGTTTTTCCGCAGTGCTTTGCATCATCACTTCGGAATATTGAAGCTCTGCCTGTTCGGCCATTGCGGACTGCAGGATTGCACAGATGCTTGGGGGGATTGCGGTGTTGTCCGCTTTTTCCGCTGTCGCTTGTTCCATCCGCTCGTGGAATTTACGGCTATAGGCCCCCACGCGGATCCCCAAGACATCATGGGCATGCACCCTGTGGCTCACTGCACACACAGGGGGCAAGAAAAGCATGTCACCTGGGCCCAGCGTTGCGACGCAAAGTTCTTTATCTCTGGCTCTTTTCATCAGGACCTGCGCGTTTCCGCTAGTCATGTCTTCCAGCATTTTCTTGGGGTCTTCCAAAGAACGGGGTGTCAAAACTGCTACCATCATGTTTCCTGTCACCAGGATCCGGAAACAAGGCAGCATGGCGAGCTCACTTCGGCCACTGGACACGGAGCAAGCAGCAAAACCAAATCTGCTGGCTTTTTGAATGTTCAACAACGCATCTCTTGAAGACGCAGTCTCTGACAGGGCCTCCACTGACCAAAACGACGGAACCCTTTCCTCGTTTGTCAGCGCTTTGATCAGCAAGCTGCTGTGCTCATCATCCAAGGCGGTTTGTGCACGGCCATCAGTAACTCTCAATGCCGAACCAGCAAAGACTTTTCCGAATTCTGTCACTGCAGCAGAGACTTCTTGTGGAAGGTTTATTCCGCTTTGTATGAATGGTTCATTGCACAGATCGGGGTCCAATTCCTCTTGGCGAAGCACCGGGATGCGGAAAGAGTCATCTTGCCAAAGCTCAGAGTTGTTATCCAACAAGATGTTCTGCGCTGCTTGTTTTTTCCGCAGGACTTGAGACTTAGCATTTGCACGGCTTGCTTCCCCTTCGGCTGCGTTCCCGCTTGCCGCGCCTGCCTTGGCCACTTTCGCAGCTTCCTTGGCGGCTCTGTCTTCCTCTTTCTTCTTCTGCGCTTGGACTCTTTTTTCTGCTGCAATCAGATCCGTTTTGGCGGCTTTTACCGCTGCTAGTAATGTATTGATGGGCTTCTTCTGGCTGGCACCTTTTTCATTTACTTCCTTTATTTGCTGGGCAGATGTGCATGTGCGGAATTCCGCTGCCAGTTGCTTTAAGTGTGCAATTGTTTGCAAGTCTTGATAATCTTTGCATGGGCCCACGCGGCCTAGAGCCGCCACATCTTGCGATGTAGTTTGTGAGTCCGCCATGGCTTGCTTTTCCTCCGCTTGCTGCTCCTGCTTGTGGGCATTCAATGCTGCATCATCTGCTTCTATGATTGCGGCAGCCCATTTTTGCCGCTTCTCTAGAATGGACATTTCCTCGGTGAACTTGTTGGCCTCAGGCTTTCCGCGGAAACCATCGAGACAGTCAGCGCATTGTTTCAAAAGGGTTTGCACCGAATTTGCCAGATCCTCCAGACCTGTCACCCATGTTCTTTCTGCCTTTCGGCACTTTGTTTCTGCATCGAACCATTTTGCTGCTTTGGGTTTGGGCGTAGGGCAATCTGCGTCAGAATATTTGCTGCTGTCTTGAGATTCATCATCGCTTTGTTTTTCTTTGTCGCCATCCCCTTCTGCGGCTTTGTCTCCTCTTGTTCTGCCGCTTAAGCGGCGTTTCTTCTTCTTCGTCGTGCGGGCGGCATACATCTCTGCCATGTCCACACCATGTTGCGCTGCTTCTTTTTTAATGTCTGCCAGCTTGACACCACCCACGGCCTCTTCTTCTGCGTTGGCGGAGTCAGTGACCACCATGCGGGCGCGAGCCGCCACTGTTGCATCTGTTGCGTTGCGAGATAACCGCTCTTCCTGCGTGAATTCCTTTTTCGCAGCAACTTCACTGAAGCCTGACAAAAGTGTCTTGTGCGGAATGGCAAGGCGGGTAAATCCACGGGGACCATTTTGATCTTTGGCCACGGATGGGTCCGACATCCATTGTTGCCACTTTTGTTACGCTTCCTCTTTTCCCAAGTATCCGTATTTGGCCTTCTTGCTTTCTTCCATCCACTCGCCTTCCCACATCATCTTCTTGACTTCGTCTGAGCGTTCGCCGCTGCGGCTTTCCAATGTTTTGCGGAAAGCTTGGATACTGAATTTAATTTTTTTCTCCTGTGCTGCGGCTTGCATCCGCTCCTTTGCAAATTCTTTCTGCACATCCAATGCCATTTTCGGATCGCTTTTTACCAGATCTTTCATGTCTTTCTCACATCCCTGGCTTTTGGCCTGGCGCCAAAATGCTTTTTGGTGCAATACACAATCTTTGCAAGAGTTTTGGTCAGCATTGAAGTCAGACAAGGCCTTGCGTCTTCCGCAATAACTTGTGCATTTTTTAAACTTTTCCTCTGTTTGTTCTTTTTTTTTGGCGGCTTCCGCTGCTGCTCTCTCAGCCCTTCTTCGTTTTTTGTTTTTCTTCTTTTTTTCATGTGCATCGTCGTCGTCGTCGGAAATTGACGCGGCATCACCGCTCTTCTGGCCGCTGTGGCTTGGCTCGGCAAAAAAAAGACTTTTCCCTTCAGTGCCCCCCTCTGCTTCCAAATGCAAAGAGAGCATCCCCGAAGAAGGCTCCAGAGGCACGTCCATGTTGGCCAGGGCCACGGCGCTGCACAGGAGCTTTATAGATTGCTGTCAAAATTTGAAAGTGCGAGTAGCCAAGAGGTTTTTAGGCATCAACTGACAAACACCAAAAGCACTGCTTCTTCTCCTATCAAAAAACAAAAGAGATTTCGATTTGTTTTGGTCGGTTATGTTGCCTCTACTCTTGATCTGGCATGCTACAGAACACATTTTTGAAGCTGACACAAGAAAAAAACGGCACACCCAGCTCAGAAAATCATACCCCAGATTGTGTGGGAAGTACACACTTGCGGATTTCGTGACATACATTTGAACTTTCTTTGAAAATAAAAGATTTCCGGCCATTTTGCTGCGCTGCGAATTCCTGTTTGGAATTTTTAATGATTTTCCTAGTAAAGTATCACACACGGCGATACGATTCCAGCAGACAAGAATGTCCGAAAGATCTCACAGCTTTGCTGTGGGATGTGTTTACCTATTGGTAAACGCCTGGGATAAAAGGGGCGGACGGCTCCGCTAGAACCCAACCTTCTTCTTCCATCAGATGTTGGGCTAATTCCTCGTCACGGGCTGCAGCTTCCAACACTTCCCATTCCCATTCTTCAGGGCGGAGATCCGCTGCCAGGGGCACAGCCACTGCTAGCGTCTCCGCTGGCGGCTGCGCCTCCGGTGGCGGCTGCGCCTCCGCTGGCGGAGCCAACCACTCTGCTGGCCGCGGAAGCGGAAGTGCCCGCTGCGGTGGAGCAGGGAGGGTCTTGTGCAAGTCGATCCAAAACAAACCGACAAATGTAATATCGCGTCGGTCCTCCACATCCTTCATGCGAAACGGATGTGGAGGTCCCACCTGCACAAAGGTATGGTCCCTCAAGTACTCTCGCCAACCTGTGCAGTGGAACCGCTGGATATCCAAGCGCAAACCATTGCCAGCGCGCGAGAGTTTCCATACGCCATGCGCTGGAGATACTGCGGTGTGCTTATTTTTCGTGACCCGCTTGAAGGCCACCGTTCCGTCTTCTGTCAAGAACAAGAACTCGCGGTGTCTTCCGCTGCCACGATGCAGCCAATGGAAGACAGCACAGAAGAGGGTGCACGGTCCAGTAGGTCCAGCGCCATGCGGCGCCCCGCTGCAGCCCATGTCCATTCTCATGGCCATCGCGTCGTGTGATGAAGGAGGTCGGCAAGCGATGGTGGAAAGAGCGACGATGGAATTGAGTAAAAAAGGAGCTGCCATGCATGCAGTGCAATGTTGACTTAATGATGAACAGTGCATATAGCCAGAGGTATGAAAGGTGCGTATGAGCAAGTCTGCACATGGAAGCATGTTTCAATAAAATTGCCAAAATCAACGGAGTGATATGTTGACGATTTAAGTATGTACTCCATATGCAACGAAAATCTAACACGGAAACCCCTTCACGCCAGCTGCGTTTTTTTTCCTCCACTGATTTGCTTGAATGGTGCGCTATGTTTCAAGCGACGTCACCTCGCCCTGGCCTGCTGCGTCAGACAGCGGCAGACCTGAAAAAACATTCGCAAGCTATTGCGATCCACAGACCGCTTCCTTTGCATTCTGCGCATGTCCGCTCTGTGTGCTGGAGGTGGCCACAGATCCTGCAGCGGATGCCTTGTTACCTTTTGCCTGCTGTGTCCTAATGGCGTCAGCGGTGCGGACTGCTGGAATTTGGCGATCCTGGACCGCTTCTCCGATCTTCATCCCCTCAAGGATGATCCAGCTAGGCAACCCTTGGTGCCGCAGCAAGTTTGCGCGAGAAAGGGATTGCGTTGTATCCCGTAATGTTTCGTGCCATTGCAATTGCTTGGCCAAAGTCTTGGCATCACTGTCCATATTTCGCACTGTGCATGCCATGAGTTTGCGTTCATGCTGGTAGGCCTCCGCATCAGCGGATCTCATGTTAGACCGCTCCCGCCACAAAGCGGCATCTGCGCCGCAGATGATATGTTGACGCAAAGAAGGTTTCTGCGCCGCTATCGCCAACAGCTTTTCGTTTCTTTGGGACTCAGCATCAGCGACGCTCATGGTAAGCCGCTCATATTTGCTAAAAGGCATTGCGATCCTTTTCTGCTGCCGGCATGTTTCTGCTCCCGATGTGCTGTTCTTTCTTTTTCTTTCTTTCATAGGAGCAACATTGACAGCACATTTTGCCTCTTTTCCTTTCATGCTGTGCAGGCGTTGCTGGGCAACTAAGGCATGATTCGAATGATGTGAGAATTGCGTTACATTCTATGCTTTCTGCCGAATGATTCCAATGATTGAATGTCTTGAGAACAAGAATCTTTGTACTTTTTTCCTGACCAGTCCAGCACCTGTGTTGGCCATGTGAGTAAAATTGTTACAAGAGCATCTTTTGAGCCAAAAGCTCATAGCCAAAACGCTACTACTACTACTACTACTACTTCTTCTACTTCTACTACCTATCTACTACTACTTGGCCGCGGCGACCGCGGCGACCGCGGTTACCGCGGCGACCGCGGCGACCGCGGTTACCGCGGCGACTTGCACTACTACTACTACTACTGCTACTACTACTACTACTTCTACTACTACTACTCCTACTACTACTTGGCCGCGGCGACCGCGGCGACCGCGGTTACCGCGGCGACCGCGGTTACCGCGGCGACTTGTACTACTACTGCTACTACGACTACTACTGGTACTACTACTACTACTACTACTACTTCTACTACTCGTACTACTACTTGGCCGCGGCGACCGCGGCGACCGCGGGCGACCGCGGTTACCGCGGCGACTAGTACTACTACTGCTACTACTACTACTACTACCTACTACTACTACTACTACTACATTTTTTTTTCTAATATTATACTCTTAGTAGTAGTACTAGCAACACTAGCAATGATATTCTTATCAGTTGAAGTACCGTTATTCTTGTTTATATGAATAATTGCGACCTTTTTTTATTTAAAAGTCAACAAACTTAACATTATCATTCTTTGATGCCATCTTTGCCATTACCACCAATGGTACTAGCAGCAAGAATTGCCGGCTGAACGCATAAGCTTTTTCCAAAATCAGGGTCAAAGCTGGTTGCGGCAGGGTCAAACTTCTGCCTCCATTATCCCAAATGTAAATGCGAGAACACTCGCTAGGACCTGCAGATGCATGCCGTTCCCGGCAAAGCTTTTGACCCGTGCAGGCTTCATGTTTTGAAGCTGCTCAGGCGTGATTGGAGATTTGTACAAACAAGCAGGGTCACCAAAAAGGTTCCACCCCTGACATTCCAAGTGTTCACTCGGCAGCGCAAGTCGCCGCTGCCCAAAAAGCCACAAGTTGGTTCGTTGGAGCAAGGCTGGAACGTGGCCACATGAAGGCCCCATGTATTGGGGATGCTGACATAAGTCCGCAGTCCATTGGTGGCGTTCCCGCTCTGTCTTGTCTTCCAAGGTCTCGCCACTCTTTTCAAGCAATGCTTGCTTGTGTTCATTTATTTTGCACCGCACTGCGGCAGAAACTGCTTGATAACAACTCCAGTGCTTGCCAGACGCGGTGGTGGGAGGCAGTTTCTGCGCTTCCGCAAGAACCTCGACGTGCTGTTGTTTGCATGTTTCCGGAGCTCGGAATTGACTTCCCGCTGTCATCACGATGTTGCGCTGAAAGATGGAATCAAATTGCTCCTGCAGCAAGAAAAAATTGGTTTCATCATCTGCTTGCTTCTGGCTGCTTGCACTTGCAACAAGGCCTTGGAATCGCCATTTGCCTTTGCGTAGCAACAGAATATAAATGCGTTTCCGCTCAACAGGAAGTCCAAATAGTGTCGGAGAAACGCGGATCACTTGCATGTGCCACTTCTCAGCGGTGAGTTCCGCTAGCGTCTTTAAATCAAAGGCAGGCGTGTTTTCGCACAAAATGCAATCATCTTCGTCAAACTGCATTCGCTCTGCTAACCATTGCATAAATGCAGGCGTGCTCAGTCCAAACCAGCCTTTCCGACCTCCCATAAGTGACCAGTCAAAGCAGTTGAATCCCGCTACGTGCAGATTCAAAGCATCTTTATCGGATTCTGCGGCATCTGTGCCGCTCCTGGTTCTGCTTACGGAGCACATCTTGCCGTGTCGAAAGCAATGTGCCGCTACTCCGACGAGATCTTGCTTCATGACCTGGCCAAAACAATCCTTCGCGAAATTCGCTGGATCTGTGTCTAGCCTCAACACTTCTGAGGCTTGCAAGCGCTGAAGACTCCGATGCAAATTTTCCCATCTTTTGCGATCGCACCGCTCTCCGATATCCCCATGGACGCACACAGGCCCATGCGTCAAAGCATGATTTCGCTCCAGGAGCATTCGGCGGCAATCCGCTTCTTTGTCTCCAGCCCTCTGGCACAGCACACGGGCTGCATACTGAACCCTTCCTTCGCCATGAGCTTTGCAAGCTGCGGCTATGCTAAGGCATCTCGCTGCTTCTTCTGCAGTACCTATCCCGCTATAGTCAGTTGTCAGGACCCAACCTTGCTGTAAGCTTCTTGAAATATTTTCCTAAAGGCCTTTGCAGTCGAGATCTGCGATCACTTGCTCTGGCCACATGTCCCTTTCCTTCATGTCTCGCGGTCCATTCCTAGCCGCTGACGTTAATGTGGCATTTGCAAAAGGCAGCGGCTGCTGCCGGCGTCGCTTTGCAGGGCGTTTCGGCATGGCTTGGGAGCTTCTCACGTGCTAAACACAAAACACCTGTACTTAAGGAAAATTCAATGCCAAAGTCGATGATTTCTATGAAGAAATTGCGTTTCCAGCTGAGTGTCCTTAGATGTCAGTGGATTGAGCTTTCGACGTGAAAATTATTGAGAATTCCTTGAAAAGGCTTCGAAAATATCGTTGCAGCAATGTTTTTGATAAAAACATGCTGATGCCAAGTGAGTTCAATCGAAAACCCTTCGGCAAAAGAGAAAACGACTGCCTGAACAAAGGCCAGGAGCCTCAAAGTGGCTTGGTTTTATGACAAAGACGCGGGATGCATGACAAAGCTAATGTCC